AGAGGGAGTTTGTGTTGCGGGAGGAGTACTTCTCAATGAGATGATGGAGTAGTAGGCACTGGTCAATAGTGGATCGGCCTTCCCTAAAGCCAGCTTGCTCCTCTGCAAGTATATTTTCTTGTTCCATCCAGTCATGGAATTTCCATTGTAGATGTCTTGCGTAAAGTTTACTGATTACGTTGAGGAGACTAATTGGTCTGTAGTTTGCAGGATCACCCTTTCCCAATTTTTAATATATAGGGACAATGATTGCAAGCCCCCAGTCCTTGGGGGCTTGGCCATGGGTGTCAATGCAGGTGAAGAGTGAGGCCAGAGTAGGGGCCCAGAATTCCATATTGTTTTTAATGGCCTCTGGTGGGATTAGATCTTCCCCTGGGACCTTCCCCAGTCTTAGCTGAGCTACCAAGTTCTTAATCTCTGTCACCATCCAAACAGAGGTGTCTGAGTAGAGTTCCTGAAAGTGTGCCTCCCAGGTCCCTTGGGTGATGTGACAGTCCACCATGTTTGGGCCATTGCTTTGTGAGCTAGAAGTAATATGCCAGAATGTGCCTGAATCATTGGATTTGACTGCCTGGATAAGTCGTGTCTAGGTGTTCTTCATGGCTTCCCTTTTCTTGCGTCCCAGCAGATGTTTGTAGTCAGTATCTCTTCAGCTGGAGGAGGTCCATTGCAGCTGTTGGTCTTGGATATATAGTGTTGCTCGGTTGTTCACAGCAGCACTCAAGATTTGTAGGAGGATGACCTGTGCCACAAATCCGTTTTAATGAACACATCAAAGTGCTCTGTAAATGATAGTTAAAGCCTTTATCTATCAACCTTTTGTGCTCTTCCACACCTTCCCAATGTTCCTGACCCTTCTTTTGGATTCTTTTAGCTTCTTTTAAATTCTTATAGATTTTTATATTCACCTTGTGTTTTAGCTTTCGAAAGCACTTTTTAGATTGTAAATGCTGGTCTATGACCGTAATAAAGATTTGAAATTGATTTGCAGCAGATATTGGGGAAACTGAACTCTCCCACGACTACTATATCTCTCCTTTCTGAATTTTTGGCAATCTACTGTAGAAAGGCTCATCCAAGTCTTCTGTCTGGCTTGACAGTTTATAGCAGACACCCACAGCATGGTCACTGTTGTTTCTCTCTCCTGTATCATAAAATCTCCACACTCATAAAATCTCAGCCTGCTTTCCATGCTCCAGGCCATGGATTTCTTCACAAATGCACACATCCCCTACGTATAATGCTGCTGCTCCTCCTTTCCTGTGTGGTCTATTCCTTCTGAACAGGTTGTACCCCTCAATTCCTCAGTCATGGTCTCATCCCACCAGCCTTCAGAGAAGGCTTTTGATCTGGCCCAGCAGGGCAAGTCTTGTGTTCTGCTGTCAAAATTCTGCAGCTGCATTTCAGGCAACAGAGCAGAAGTGAATGTGCTCTTCAATTAATTTGGCAGGAGAGCACTCCCTCCCTCTCTGCCATCATTTAAGCTCCTCTTTGTGAAATGGTGAGAAATGTTGTTTCCTGCACAGAGCTTTGATGTTGTGGACCATTTGAAGCAAAATGTCAGTGTAACTTTTTTACATATCTGTTACGTTTTGATTCGTGAAAAGTAGCATTCAGTCTTGGTGAGAAATGTTTGTGCCGATGTGATACATTTCCCAGTACTGTTCATTCTTTCCTGCTGGTGTCCGCCCCGCCCTTGAACATTTTACCAAGAGAGAGGGCTTGGGAGATGCAGAGATTTTAAATTCACGCTTGCCTCCTTTGCCCTCCAGAGATTTTGTTTAGAGATCAGATGGGCTAATGTAGCAGAACAGCTCCCATGGAATTTGCAGCAAGTTACAGTCTGTGACAAGAGAAGGGGAGCGTTAACCTTCTGCAAAATCTGCACTCAGCGATGGAAATTGGAGGTTATGATGCTGATGTGTCACATCCAGATTTCTGTCTCTGTCTCTCACTGTAGTCTTATTATCAAAGGCATGTTACAGGAGAGTTACTTTACAAATGCTTGGGTTTTCAGGTGATCTTTTCATGGACACCTGAGATAACAGAGTCTCATCAAAGTCTGACGCTTTCTCTCTCTCTCTCTTGGATGTTGATGCATGTATTCATCTGTGCAACCCCCCCGTTTCCTCATTTCCTGCAAGTATAAAAACTGGTCAGTTAATAAAATGGCAATCCGTGATCAAGGGTGCAGTGTGTGACTCACTTTTAGTGTGTCTTGGTGAACAGGGGTTCAATAGAATATTTTACCTCCAAAGAGTTCTAGACCACTATGCAATGAATGCCTGGGGCCTTTTTAAAAAACCCCTAAAGCCACCATTATACTTAAGCGGCAGACTCTGTATTTGTTGTGTGCTGTTGTCTTCCTTTCAGAAAACAGAGTCACCCTCTCTTATTCCTCAGAACGACTTTATCAGATTGGTGAAAATGTAGATAGAAGAGCTGACTTGTCAAAACTTGGCTCTCCCTGGTGAAGCTGGAAATGGCTTTTGAGGTAGAATGAAACTGCTGCAAGGCCACATTCAGGTTTTGAAGAGCTCACGTGATGGGGGGGGGAGGTGCTCCTCAGACTCACCTCCCCCTACTATCTTCTCTCCATTTGCTGGAGGAGAAAGCTCTGCAGCACTGCTGCAGGGTCCTAAATGGGGGGGGGGGGCTATTTCTGCAGCCTCGGTTCTTCTCCTTGAATATGTGGATGGCAGTCAGGTTGCAGCAGAGAGAGCAGAGAACCTGGGAAACTGTCAGTGCTGGTCTCTCTCAGTTTCAAGTGCACTTCTCCACATTTCCATACCATGAAGACCCATCAGCATTTTAGAACTCATTTCTCCAAATGCACACGTTTCTGTGCAATTTTGCCTAAAATACACATTTTTGAAAGTTTTTTTTCCACAAATATACGCATTTTCTGCACCCTTCCCCCTAACACATTTATTATTGTAAACATAATTTGTTTGGAGAACTGCAAATTTCAAATAAACAATTGCTTTTGGTTGATGTAAAAGCTAGGAGCCAAATGGTACATTAACCCTAGGTTTCAGTCACCACAGTCATCTAGGCACTTTTTATATGTATTTTTATATGGCAGTAAATTTATGTAAAAAGAATTAAGGAATAAATGGGAGGTCAGGTATAAAAGATAATAAGATTTTTATTTTTATTGTAACATGAAATTGCAATCACAAATTTATGTCATAATTTTTATCTTATTAACAGATTGTGTAAATTTTATTTTCTTCCCTTTTTCTTCCCCTCTTAAGTTGTACCCCTTTTCAGTGTTTTTTTTTTTGTATGTAATAAGCATGGAAATAAGCATGAAAAATAATATTTATTTATTTATTTATTTTTTAAAAAGAAGACCTCAAGAGGAGAGGTCATCTTTAACTATCCTCTAAGAAAACAAAGGAGAAAGCATGGCTGTCTTGTTCTTCTTTAGACTAGTTAGTCTAGAACTTGAAACTTTTTATCCAAGTTATGTACCTCCTACAATAAACAACTTTATTATTTTCTGACCTGCAGACACCTCTGTCTCTGTGTGTGACTGTAACAGGTAAAGTCTGCTCTGTGAAGCCAGCTCAGATTCTGCTCATGCTGCAAAGGGCTTTCAACAGGCAATTGACCCTGTCACCCCATTATTCTTGTCCTGGAACTAAGCTTACCTGAGGCTCCCTGTTGCGGATACTGTCAATGGCAAAGCCAGATTTGCTGCTGTACATTGCATTGTTATGAAATGGCCCTGATTGGAATATTAACGTCACCAAGAAATAAGTTGTTCCTGTGATAGTACAGCTATTAATGAAGATTGCCCTGTAAGGAAACCCCGACTCAACTTTTCATAAAGGTTTTCTTTTGCACACCCATTAAAATTATTGCTTTTTGAGGGGGGAAATGTTTCCCTTGGGTTCTTTACATCTGTTTTTCAAAACAGACCCATTCATTTTTGCTTCTCTGTTTTGAGCTCTGGAAACTACAGAGGGAGCCGCTGCCTGCCTGTGCATCTCCTGGTGAAGTAATGGAATACTTTCACGCTTGTCAGAACTTTTGCCAGGCCTTGGCAGAGTAGCAGGCATGGCCAGCATTGCGAGCAACTCCTTCAGATTGGCAAACTGCTGTTGAAGCATCATCATCCTCATCCTCATCATCATTTTAAAAGCCCTTTGGAGTTACGTAGACTTTAATTGTAACACCAGAGGTTCCAGTCTTAGAGGTGTTTGCGGGGGAAGGCGAGAGAGAAAGAGAGAGAAAGAGCATCATAAACTGTAAGTGGGCCAAACCCAAAGGCCAACTCTCTCTTAAGCTTTATTGATGTGTGGATCCAGATCCGAGCCTTGTTAATCCAGCCTAGCAGTAATGTTTTTGAAACTTACACACCCGTCTTTGAACTGGAGATTTGTGTGTTTCACTACCAGTATCTGAAAATGGTTTTAAGGTGAGTTTTTAAATATGTTGTGGAGGCTTGTGGGAGATACTTTAACTATCTTTCCCAAGACAGAAGCATTCAGTTTTGTATTTGAACGTGGTTCTTGAAATTAGGTTAACCTATCTGCAGTGAGCTTTATGAGTGAGCTGAGATTTGCAACTGGGCTTCCTGTAATTTTGGGTACATTCTGTGATTGACAGTGCAATCCTGTGCATATACCTGTATACGCGGAAGTCGGTCCCCACCATGCACACTGCTTTGACCATGTTTAGCCTAAATAGAATGCCTCTCTTGACATCTCAGGGGCATATTAAAAGAAGAACGTTTTGCTGTGGAAAAGTGAGATTTGATTACTTTCCCCCTTTCTGAGAAAATAAACTTGTGCTAGCTATGCTGGCAAGGTTTTGACTGCAGGCTAGCCTTTCCGAAACTGTTGCCTGCAACTGGAAATTAGGTAGGCAAGGATTGCCTTCCTAAATCCCCTTTTGGCTTTAACCTTGTAGGTGTGTGCTTCCCTCCAATGAAAACGTAATGTGTGAATTTCAGCTCCTGCATCTGCACCCAGCTCCTACAGGGAAGAGTCACGGCTCAGGGGTAGAGCATCTGCCTTGCAAGCAGCAGGTCCCACGTTCAATCCCCGGCATCTCTAGTCTGAAACCCCAGAAAGCAGCTGCCAGTCAGTGTAGGCAGTACTGAGCAAGAGGGACCAATGGCCTGACTCAGCATAAGGCATCTTTATGTGTTCATACAAGTGTGCTTTTCCTGCAGCTGCATGCAAGAGTTGACACCACCATGGCTATCTCATTGACATGACCTCCCACCTTTTGCTCCTTTTGTCCCATCTCCATCCATTTGCCACCTCCTCCTCCTCTCTCTCTCTCTGACTCTTTTCTCCCGCAAAAGTGCCTCCTTTCCTCTGCTTTGTCATCTCTTGTTTGGTCACAGTTATCCGTTCCGTTTGTGCTCAGTCTCGTTCTGTTTGTTTTATACTGCTGTGTGTCTTACAAATCCGTCCCCAGAGCATTGTCGTTTGCAGGGCTGCGTCCTCAGCTCTGCCTTGAAAGGCTCTCCCGGAAAGCTGCTGAAGCATTCTGTGCCTTCTGCGGCAGCTGCAGTGAAGTGAACATCTTGCTGGGAGGGTGTGTTGCTTCACTTACTCTGTGCCTGACCAGTCTCTGGAGCATCTTTGGCCAGCCTGGTGCCCTCCAGATGGCCTTGGACTACAACTCCCATCAGCTCTAGCCAGTGCACCTGCCTCAGTACTTCTCCTTGGAACAGAAAGGTTGCCAGTTTGGGAACAAATCAAAGGTCTGCCAGCTTCTCTACCTGTTGCTGACTGGCAAGATTGTTCCAGGACATGGTATAATAAAGCAAGCTAGTCTCCGTTGATCATCCCTAGCATTCAACAATCAGAGGTACACTGTTATATATGGGTTGGGGGTTTTTTTGGGGGGGGGGTTATTTGTCATGGCTTTCTGTATGTGCAAAGCTCCATGTGAGCTGGGATAATGCTTAGGCTAGGATAACCCCATGTGTGCAGAAGCTCCACATGCATACAAGCTCTCCTGGTGTGCCCTCCTCAGAAATCACATCATTGCATCCAGGGTTTCTTAACCCCACTATTGTCTAACCATTTTAAAAAACCACCTGAGCCAGCAACCACATTTTGTGCCGGTTAACTCCGTAAATTGCTTAGGAATCCTGAGAGTTTTCAATTGCCAGTCAGCTTTTGCTGGATGCAGTACGTTGTCATTTTTGCTGTTTTGCAGATAACTTACCTTAATTTTGCTAGTGCAAACAGGGGCAAGTGGCTTTACTGAAGTTTTCTCTTTCAATTCCACGCTCAATTTCCAGCCACCCTTCTGGCTTCTGAGGTTTCATCCATCATTGCCAAGTGCTTTAAAGAATTGACTTCACAGCAAGGAAGTCTAGAAGCTTACTATCCTTCCAGTGAAAGTGGTGATTCTGTACACGGCCTGATATCCTGTTTCTGCATCCCCTAAAAAAAAAAAGCTCAACAACAACTTTGTATGTAGAGCCTCAGAAATGGGATTTCAGTAGAAATAACAATGCAATAAAATGAAAACTGGTAATATAAAAAAGAAGAAATCTCAGCTAGTGCATGAAAGAACTACCAGACTTGATAAGAAAAGTGCCCCTTGGCAAGTTGTGCTATAGTCTGACATCTTATCTTCCTCTTGCTCAGGATTGGTTAATGCCACTCTTAGCTCCCAGATCATAGGTAAGCAATGGTAGAAGGAGAAGACCCAAGGCCTTAAAGCCCTGTAAGGATGGAATGGAGGGGCGACAGAGTGCTTACATAACAAAGGAAAAGAGATGCTTTTGGAACTTTTTATTACAAGCAAATTCTTGGAATGTAAGTGAAAGAACAAAGCCAGAAGGTTAACTGTAATTGATAAGGCTTTGTTATTTGAAATTGCCTGGCTGAGTCCTTATCTGTAGCAGAACATTGCAAGACAATAAGTGTGGATTTTGCCTAAGCAGGGGGACATCCATGAGTATTGTACCTGTTCCTCTCAGCAATATATTGCTTTTGATAAAGTGATATTTGACCAATCTTTGCAACCCTAAACTATGTCTTGAAGGCTGGTTTTCTTCTGCACTGTGTAGTGATCAGAATCTGTTAGAATGTGTCAGCCTTTCTGTGTTGAGTGTCCTTGGAAGTTAAAGGCACATGTCAAGACATCCATCTTGTTGATCCTCTGTTGAAACCACACACAAAAGAATTGCCATTAGTTGCCGCTCAGAGCTTTGGCATTTTGAACAATTATTGTCTTCATCATCCCTGAGTGAAAAATGCAGCTTTTATTTCTGAAATGATAACTTCACATGGCAAAAAAAAAAAAAATTCTGCAGCAGTGGGCCTTTCTTACAAAGATGGATGGGTGTTTGTGCAGAGGTCCATCTGAAGCATATTATTATGAACTGCATTTCAGTCCATTAAGGCAAGGAAGGCAGCCAGTTGAGACACTCAAGAGCTGCTTAACCACCACCTTTAAATAAAAGAAACTTCCAGATCAGCCTCTCTCCGATCTCCCCTCAGAACTTGTGTGCGTTCCTTTTTCACATCTGGATTTGCTGCAGCTTGTATTGAAAAACATTACTTCCTCTGACCGTGAAGGCAGAGCAGAGCCATGGTGATTAGTAGGCGCTGCTAGCCTTCATGAATTTGTCCAGGCCTCTTTGAAAGCATTCCAAGGCATCACTGCCTCTTGTGGCAGTGAGTTCCACAGTTTTTGTGCTGTATGAAGAATTACTGCCTTTTGCCTATATTTAATCTTCCGACATTCATCCTCACTGCATGTCCCCAGTTCTAGTGTTATGAGAGAGGGAGAAAAACTTTTCTGAACCCACTTTCTGCCTGCCGTGCATAATTTTATAAACGTCCATCCTGTCTCTTAACTTGCCTTTTCACTAAACTAAAAAGTCCTCAGCGCTGCAGCCTTTCCTCATACGCGTGTTGCTCCATCCCCTTTCCTGAAGCTTTCGTGATTCCACAATGTCCTTTTTGAGGTGAGGCAACCAGAACTGTACACAGTATTCCAGATGCAGTTGCACCATAGATTTATGATACTAGCATTTTATTTTCAGTTCCTTTCCTAATGAAAGCAAGCTGAAGGTCCACAGGGCTGATGGCACAAGAAGTGGGGGCAGCTGGATAGAGGCCTCCGTCAGAGGCAGAGAGGCCTCTTAGGCTGCCTGCTTTCTCTTGCAGTGCTACCAGGCCAGGTGGCTACTGCTTCAGGAAGGGGGACTATTACATACTGCTAATGGCACTGCAGACAGAGCCTAACTGTTTCGTCTAATCCTCCATCAAAGCCACCCAGGCTGGTGGCCGTCACTGCTTCTTGCGGGAACAAATTCCATAGTGTAACTATGCCCTGTGTGAAGAATACATCCTTCTGTGTGTCTGAATTTGTATTTTCCCAGTGTTTGGGAGGGTGTGTGTGTGTGGAGAGATGGCTTGGTGACTGAGCCTGGGGTGGGGTGGGGCTCGCTTATCACTATTCTATACCACGTAGCACAAATAAATATTCAGATGAAAACACACTCACTTTAGTCTTCGTCTAAAGACGAACTGATAAAAGAGGCAATGATAAAATGGGCTATTGATATTGGGCATAATATTGAAATTGCTGAGCAAATATTGCTGAGAAAATATGCAAAAAATGCAGTATAGATGGTATTTGACACTAGTCAAACTGGCTCAAAACTATGCTGGAAATGTCTAGAAGAAGAGGGTACACTTATTCATTTATGGTGGAAATGTAAACAGGCAAAGAAATTTTGGGTGATGGTTTACAATGAGTTAAAAAAAACCTTTAAATTCACTTTCCCCAAGAAACTGGAAGCATTCCTTCTAGGCGTACTTGGGAGTGAGTTACCAAAGAAGGCCCACAACCTTTTCTATATGCAACAGCAGCTGCGAGGATAGTATATGCAAGATACTGGAAACAAAGAGAGACCCCAGGGAAAGAACAGTGCCTAAATAAACTAATTGAATATGCAGAGCTTGTCAGTATAACATCTAAAATAAGAAATCAAGATGACAAACAGACGAGGAGTGAGTGGGAGCATCTAGGGGAATATATACAAAAAATTGACCTCAAATATCCAAAAATATCAAAAATCCAGGTAGGGGATACCTTGTGACCAACAGTAGACAACATAAAAGATATGAGAGTGTAGAAAATAAGGGGAAGGAATTAATGTATATGCAGCTAAGCAAGATGTAAAAAGAATGGAATGCTGAGTGGGAAGTAAAAAAGGACTACTGTATAAGAATGGAAAATGTTATTGTAAAACTGAAAACTTAATACATTATTATTATTATTATTATCATCATCACCATCATTTTCATTATCATTATCATCATCATCTACCAGCTAGCTTCAAACATAGCAGTTTAATCAGATAATCACCAGCTCCAGAAATGTCACTTGACAGGACAAATGTATGTTGGATTTTATAAGGCACAGCAGCAAATGGAGATGTTCTGTAGATGACAGATTTATCTTGATCTGAATACAAGAACCAATTCTTAACAAAACCTGGGAACTCAGCAAGGGCCTGCGGCAAACCTCCATAGAAATCTGCTTCTTGGGCCTTCATATAACAGGTGGCAAAATAGAAACATTACCTTCCAAAAAGAATGGTCCAGGAAGTGGCGGGCATCCACACTACATAGCAGAGAGATGCAAGGGTCAAAAACCCATGGAGGGTGGAAAGGCTAAGTGCATTGTCTAGCTAGCACATTTCAGTGGCAATTCCTGAGCAACTTCTAAGAAGAACAATGGAGGTCACTTCTTATAATCTCATTTAATCTCTGTCAAATTCACGTCAAAATTTAAGAACATATGTATACAAAAGGCACCCTAAAATGCTAACAGATTTTCATGAGAACTGTTTATTAATTGCAAAGTGATCAGGATATGTGGTAAGCCTAGCTCTCTAGTCCGGCCTGGTAGCTCCTTAAGGCACCACCATTCAGACCCATTAGAAGCTTCCTTTGGCAGATATGGCCGTCAGTGGCGGAGCTTCATGCTCCGGCACTGGGGGCAGAAAGCAGGTGGGGGCGGGGCTGGCATGCATCCTGGGGGCGTGGCGCCCAGCGCGTGGGGAGGGGGCAGCTGTGATGGCACCCCACCGGGATCGTGGTGCCAGGGGCGGTGTGCTCCCCCACCCCCTCTTCCTCTGCCAGTGATGTTCATCACCTGCTGAACACATTTAAACCTCCATGAGGTCTGGATACTTGCTTTGGTCGTGCTTTGCCCAATGCAAGTATCCATGCTGAATGCACAGAATAAATGTTTTCATTCACAGGGGATGAGTGGCAGCCACTACCATCTGATTGCAGGCATTCAGTAAACTAACGTAACCATGTGTGTGTATTTTGGGGGGGCGGGGAAAGATGTTTCCCCCCTCTTTTCCCTCATTTGCTTCCCTCTTCCTTTGAGCTGTATGATTTGTACATTATTAACATGAATTGACTCTTAACAAGCCTTCCCTGGTGTAGATCAGATGGCACACGTTAAGCTGTGGCCAATCCACCTACCTGCTGGTGTCTCGGGTTGTGCCTATAACAGCAGCCAGGTGCTTTTAGATTCCCAGTTACCTTGTGACACTTACCTGCCATTCACTGAGCTGAATGCTGTCTGATACGCAGGCTGATCCTTGCACCTTAATGAAGGGACAAACATTTGCGACTCAAGGCAGCTGCTCTGTAGAGATGAAATGTAATTCTGCCCCATTTAACCCACCTGGGCCAAATCCACACATGCAGCAGCAGGAAGTGCTGGGCTCTAGGAGTGTCCATTTGTTTTTGGACAAATCCAAATTTGTTTTTGGACAAATTTGGACAAATCTTTTTCTTATCTTTTTTCTTTTCTTTAATTTAAAGTGGAGCAGCAGGGAATTACACCATAACTATACAAAGCAAATAAACAATGGATAATAAGAAAAAGAAATGATGACACACCATTGTAAACCAAGACATCCCCATTTCCCCAGCTGGTACAGATGGTGAATGCTGAGCATCTAAATTCAAAGCACAGGAAATAAAATCCCACCAGGTGGCATAAAAATGTTATGGATTAAGGTTATCAGGATGTCCCATATGATGACTGTCTGTGTCCCTGTGGAGATGAAGAAGTTGAAACTTTGGGTCATGCCTTTTTTTAATCTTCACAGAGAGGAATCTTATAGCCTACTTTGCTTCCGTATGAGGAAACCTCTTGGAAGGACACTGGGATTGTATCTGGAATATTTATTGACTGATGCAAGAAAGTTAACAGCAGAGTTAGTGGCCAAGTTCCTCTTCTCTGTTCAAAGATGATGCCCTCATTTTAATTGCAGTTTGTATCTCATGTTTTATCCGTGTATTGTATTCCATTTTAAATATATGTATGTTTTACCCTTTGTATCATATTGAATTGATTGAACTGAATGTGTCTCACTCAGTTCAGTTTGCATCCATTCCAAAATGCATGCAGATTGGAAGTACAGTGGTACCTCGGGATGCGAATGGGATCCATTTCGGAGCCCCGTTCGCATCCCGAAGCGAACATAACCTGTGTCTGCGCATGCGTGGGTCACGTTTCGGCGCTTCTGCGCATGCGCATGACATCATTTTGATGGTTTGTGCATGTGCGCGCGGTGAAACCCATAAATAATGCGCTCCATTACTTCCGGGTCGCGTGAAGCGCAACCCGAAAATGCCTAACCCGAAGCGTATTCATCCCAAGGTATGACTGTAGTATTTCATGGGACGGGGAGCGTGGGCAGACTACAAGCAGGAACCCTCTCTGCTCCAATGCCCCTTCACTGCTGCAGTCAGTCCAGCTGAGGCCACTTCCCCTGCATCTGGGCTATTTGGTGATTTTGCTGGTTTGTATTGCTTTGATTGATTGATTGATTGCATCTAGTGCATCTTTCTTTTGTATTAATATGTGGTTTGCTACATTGGGGTATTTTGAACCAAAAATTGGTATAAAATTAAAGTATAACATACAGGTCTTTAAAGACACAGGCCTGTTTCCACCTCATTCCACCTGGAGCCCATTTTCAGAAAACCCACTTTAAAAGGAAAGCTGAAGCAACAAGCGAGGCACAGAGGCGCTCTAGATGCCAGGAGTCCCAAGAGTGCAGCAGGGTGAATCTGCTAAAGGGCAGCAAGGAAAATGGTCTTTGGAAGAGGGGTGGGCAGAAGGTGAATCATGTGGGCTTCCTGGGAAAATTGAACTGGAAAAATAGCTGCATTGGGAAATGTTCTGATTCCCTGATCTAATTTAGCATGTTTATTTTACTAGTATTTATTAAACAAAGCTAAAATCCTGGGAACCACCCAGTTTTCTGAAGATTAGATTTGCAGTTGGCAACATACTTTGCTATAAATTAACTTATGAAATGGATAACTTTCTGCAAAAAAAATAATTAAAACTCATACTAGAAACTTTTCTGCCACAGATCATTGCAGAAGGTGATGTGCAGTAGAACTGGCGAGGATTCCTGATTCTCGGTTGCTTAACCATCGCAGCAGCAAATATATTTCCCCTACTTTACACTGTTGAAATGATGGACTTTGGGTAGAGTGGGGAAAGGAAGAGGTACCCAGGAGGGCATAGTTGTGGGTGGGGCTGTGAGCTCCACTTGGTTCTGTTACAACCCCCCCCCCCATTTCCTGGCTTCAGAGTGCTTTAATTCCAAGTGTGCATCTTTTGTACTCGAATCCAGCTTTTGCACCTCAAGAGTAGAAAAAAAAATGAAGTGGATTCTGCAAGCCTGAAATTTGCCCTCTTTAAAGGAATCCAACATAAATAAGATGAAGGTTTTGACTCAGAAGCAATTAATTTTGGGGTGGCGGAGGGAGATTGATGCAACTGTTTCTCAAATAGTGTAAGAAAGAGAACAAAAAACTCCCTCGCCCCGGTGTACTTTCATTTCTTGAAAGACAGGGAAGGGGTGGCAGGAGTATTTGCCTTTGCTTAGGTTGTGGTCAGCATTAACCAGCCCCTGTTGCCATCTTCTTAGGCTCTGTAGTAAATTGCAAGGAGTAAATTAATCTCCTGGATCCGATTTCAATGGGACCCTGGTCTCTGCAGTAGGAGCATCAGAGGACGTCACTGATCTCCTTTTGGCAATCCTCGTGAGCTGTCTTGGCAGAGAAGATCAAGAAGCAAATTGGCAGGGAGATGTCAGTGCTACTGTTTCTCAGCCAAGAACCAAGGCACAAGATTATGTCTGTGTGAGCCCAAGAGAAAAGTCTAAAGCATGCATGATGAGGCTCAATTGCCAAAGGAGGATCTGAATATGGAGCTGATCAGGCAAACACATGTAAGCTATTTGGAGGAGCACTTCTATAACAAATGTTAGCAAGTGGCACTGGGCACTTCTGTCAGATTATTTAAGAGGGTGCTTGCCTCTCATTTTGGTACCATTTTCGTTGCAAGTAGTCCCATTGAGATCAATACCTGGGACTAACTAAAGTTCATTGATTTTGCTCCGGCCGTGACTTCGCTGCATGCATCCTATTGTGTGCATCTTAAGAACAGGAAGGTTAATAAATAGATTTTTAGACCAGTTTGAGGGCAATGGCTTCCAAGGCAGCTAATAAATAATAAAATAATTTGCAACAGTTTTTAATTAAAGTTCACAGTTAACAATAGCATTCTGCAGAATAAGGAGGAATGGCAGCAATACAATCCCAGCAGTTATCAGTATAAAAGCAACAGGATAGAAACACAGCAGGAACATAAAAACATCTTTATACTCAGGACAGAAGAAATGACTTTGGCACTGGAAGTATTGCAAAGTCAGTGGCTGCTGAGCGTCACTGGGGAGAGCATTCCACAGCCATGGCCCCATCACTGAGAAGGTCCCCTCTCTCTGAGTATGGCCTCTGGGATTGAAAGAGAGGGACAAAAATCTCAGTGTTTGATGAGCCGAGACAGTGTTTTGCGGAGCATATCCCAGGAGCATATCTGCTTCCTATTTGGTGTTCTCTGCAGTGAGGGAGAATGGGTACCCTATAGAATCATAGAACTGTAGAGTTGGAAGGGACCCAAAGGATTGTCTAGTCTAGTCCAACTCCCTTCAATTCTGTAGTGTTCTAACAGTGCAGGATATATGATATTACTCCAATTTAACAAGGAATCTATTCTGTGGTTCTTGCCTCATTGAGAGACACAGCTGATCCTCTGAAGGTTATTGGATTCTAACTCATAAGCGGCAGCCAACATGGTCAGTGATGATGGGAATTGTAGGGCAGTAACATCTCGAGGGCCACAGTTTCCCCATCCCTGAGTTAGAAGACTCATTTGTTTGTGTGGATGTGACCACCTTGTGCAAACTGCCCAGCTTCCTAAAATTTTATTGCTGATACCTAGGAACATGTGCATTTAATCAGCTTGGTAGAGGAGTGGCCAGGCTGAATGCAGCCACCACCAACCCAAGCATTTTTTTGGGGGGGGGAGCTAATTACATTATTACTTTTTATGCAGATTAAAATTTGGTATCCGCACAATTTGGAAAGGCAAAATATTTTTCAGGTAGTAAAGGATGTATATTACCCACTTCAATGCTGCATCATTCTCGGATGTTCTGAGTACCAGTGACTGGGAATTGCAGGTGTGTATGGTGCTGTTCCACTCGTTGGGATACCTCAGTTGGTAGAGCATGAGGTGCTAAATCTCAGAGTTGTGGGTTCAAGCCCCCTCTTGGGCAAAAGATTCCTGCAATGCAGGGGTCTAAACTAGACGACCTTCATGCAATTCTGTAATTCTCTGTTCAGCTTGCTGGCTTCCCACAGGCATCTTCTTGGCCACTGTGAGAACAGGGCTTTGCTGGACTACACGGGCCATTGGCCTGATCCAGGAGGGCTCTTCTTATGTCCTTATCAATGTGATGCATAATATGCAGGCAAATATGTGCATATATAGTATTGTGCTTGTGAAGCCTTGCCATGAAACAGGTATTGTTGTTGTTGTTGAAATATATAGCCTGCCATTTATCAGAAGATAACAAGGCAGTTTACAACATAAAAACACAAAATATATAACCTAATCATAGTTTTAAAAATGCATGCATGTGTAATCCTGGGAGAAGGGAGGCAGAGAGCTGGTGGAAGCTTGGACACAGTCTGATACTATGCATTTTTAATCCAGAGCAATTCCTATTGTGTTCAATGGGGCTTAGCCATATAGCTTACATGCACGCAGGATTTCAGCCTGTGCCTGCCTCCTGCTTCTCTCCCCTGTGTCCTCCCCACAGTCAATCTGCCTGGTCCTCAGCTGGTGCTGCTATCTCTGCAAAGAAGCTGTTTGTTCTTTTCCATGACAGCAGCTGCTCTCAAGGTGGCTGCCTGCTGGAGCAACAACAAATAGGCTTTTTGGTAAAGAGAGCCTGAACTGCAGAAGACCAGATGAGGAGAGGAATGGCAGAGTGCACTGGTTCGGAAGCAGCTCACTCTTTTCCCTCCCAGACTGAGCACAAGGAGGGCAAAGGTGGGGAAGTCAACAGTAAATTTAGTGGATCCTCCTTAGCTTTGCAAATGGTGCAGTAAATTTAGTGCACTTGCCAAGGGTTATTCCTAGTACACCCACCAGACAGGACCTCTTGCCTCTTTCATAATATGAATGGGGGGGGGGGAGGATGCATGCACAACACAAACTTAAACCTTGGAAATTGTAATCCTGTAATGGTGGTTGGGAGTCTGGAACTGCAGCTGCTGCAGAATTTGGCAGCTAGGTTGCTCAGAGCAGCAAAACGGTCTGAGCACACGACACCAATCCTGGCCCAATTGCATGGGCTGCCAATTAGTTTCTGGGCCCAGTTCAAAGTGCTGGTTTTGACCTATAAAGCCTTAAATGGCTCAGGACCACAATACCTCAAGGACTGCCTCTTCCCCTATGTACCACCCTGGACCCTGTGTTCACCCCGTGAGGCCCTTCTCCCTGTGCCCCCTTCCCAGGAGGTCCAGTGGGTGGCAACACAAGAACGTGTCTTTTCAGTGGTGGCTTCCCGCTTGTGAAATACTCTCCCCAGGGAAACCTGCCTGGCACCAGAATTACAAAGTTTTAGGTGCCAGGTGAAAACATTTATTTTCCACCATTTCTTTGGCTTTCATTTGTCTCCTTGAGTGGGTGGGTTTTTAAAAGTGTTTTGATTCTGCCTTTTAAAAATATGATCGGCTTTTAGATTTTTCTTGGTTTTATTTTATGCTGTTTTTCATGTATGCATTTTTTATTGGCGTAAGTCCCTTTGGCTTACTTTTGTAGGGGTGGGGGAAATGACTAATAAGTAAACTTGACTCTATGGCAGCAGAACCCACACTGGCACAATCCCCAAACCAACTGCTTTACCCAAGTAATTTGCTTTTAGTTTTAAAATGTGTGCTGACGTTTTAAGCCAATCTCATCAAAACATTGCATAACACATTTTGCAACAGGATATTAGCTTGTCCAGTGCGCTTCTCTTAAGGAGAGCCATTTGGGAGAGTTGAGTTGGCTTTTAACAAGAGTGCTCCTTAGAGCAGACATCAGGGAAGCCAGATCCCCATCCGAGGTCAAGGTGCCGCTGTAATAAACATAGAAAGTCACTTGGGACCCAAATGCCTGAGGGTGCCTCTTCTCCATTACTCCCTACCTACCTATCTATCGAGATCTGCTGAAAATGCCTTGTTTGCTATTCCAACTTTAGACTCTTCTGTTGGGGAAGGGTATGTGTGACAGGGCACTCTCAGTGGTGCCTTTCCCAACCTGCCTCAGTTTATGGACCTGTTCCCTTAAAGCTGTTTGGTTGTCCCCCAAGTTGGCCACTTTTGTTGGAGGGTAATCAGTCTTTTTGCTGGCAGTAGCACTGAAGAGTGACAAAGAAAAGAAAAAGAAGGAAAAAAATGAGAATGAAAAAGAGAAAAAATACTCAGTTATATTCCTTACATTATATTAATTATTATTATTATTATCTTATTTAAATTTGTATACCGCCCTATACCCACAGGTCTCAGGGCGGTTCACAGAATAAAATCAGAATATAAAACCACCAAATACAGAATAAAAACAAAAACAATCCAATTAACCCCCGCCAACACATTTTAAAAGGGCTTAGGATGTCAAGCAACCAAAGGCCTGGTTAAAGAGGAACGTTTTTGTCTGGCAGCTAAAGTGTATAATGACGGTGCCAGGTGAACCTTCCTGGGGAGAGCATTCCTCAAATGGGGAGTCACCAGAGAAAAGGCCCTGTTCTCGTGTTGCCCCCCCTGGACCTCTCACGGAGGAGGCACATGAAGAAGGGCCTCAGAAGATGATCTCAGGGTCCGGGGAGGTTCATATGGGGCGGACCTTGAGGTATTGCGGTCCTGAGTCGTTTAGTTAGTAACAGATGTGCATAATCTTACTATCCTAATACACACATAGTTATCAATAACCTAATATATTCTGTGTAAACTCATTCCAAATATCATTGTATTTATCCAAAGAAAGTCTGTGTCTATAGTCTGTGTCTATAAGTTGTTCACTCATATATTGCCAATATTGTCATGTTGTGTCAGTTGTTACGATGTCGTTAATGTTACTATTTTTTTCTTGTGCTACATACATGGCATGACATGCATTGCTTTCCTCTCTGTGCTTCTGTTGGGAGGAAAGGCAGCATCTAAGTGCAAGGAAATGAATGAATAAGTAATGCCAGTGGCGGCTGCAAGTCAAGAAAGAAGCTGACAATGCATCTGAACGGATACAAATTATTATTATTTAATAGTTGCTAGTTGCTGCCTTGGGCTCCTTTGGAAAGAAGGGTGGGATAAAAACTGAACAGCTGCATACATAAGTAAATAATGCATTCCAAAACTATAACACATAGTTTATTTTAATAATACCAGATCTCTGAGCACAGGTGTTATATGCTGACAAGCATTCCACACTAACTGCGGTTGCTGGATCAAGCATGAGGGAAGCCCCATGTAGAACTCAGTGCAGTAATCCAGCCTTGAAGTAAGCAACATATGAACTACTGTGGCAAGGCTTTCCTGGCCCAACCAATTGCAGTTGGTAAAAGCCACTTCTAGTCACAGAAGTTATCTAAACCTCCACTGACAGAGCTGGAGCCAGAAGCATCCCCAAACTGCGAACCTGTCTCTTCAGGGGGGATGCAGCCCCTTCCAGGCTGGGCAGTTGGTCAGTTTATTGGAAACAGAACTGCTCACCCACAATGCCTGGTTTTGTTTTTAAATTGCAAAGTGCTATGACCATGAGCAATAAATGTTTGACTGGACTTGAATTCAAAAAACAAACTGATAGATTTTGGCTCCCTTTTTCAAACATGGCAGTGCAATTGCTTTTCCCCAACACAAAAGTTTCCTCTTGGTAAACATTAGCAGTCCTACTTAGGTGTTGATGAAGTCGAATGAAACATTGTTTTTTGCATTGCTTAGATTTCATTGCTGAGAGCTGCAAGATCCACCGTTTGAGAAACTGATTCGCTGGTAATTGAAAGAGCCATTGTCTCATTTCAATTATCTAATGCAATTTCCAGCACCTCATTCCTATAATTATGGCAAACGGCCAGCAGCAAAGCCTGATTAGAGGCTCCTTAAAAGTATCTGGAGACAGAATTTTCCTGGAATAATTCAATGTGTGAAGCTGATGATGGGGTTTTGAAGTTGGCATAGAAAGTGATTGAGGATGGCACCAAACAGAATTTATTGCAATCATGTTTTCCATTGTCATTGCAGCACTTTGAGCATCCTTTTCTTGGTAACCTATGTGAAATGTCAAACTGAAAGTAAAGGACTCAACAGATGTCAAGTGTGCTGCTAACAGTTTGTATTTGCTGTGATGTCTGGCGAGGACAAATGGGACACGTACTTTCTAGGCATGGGGCATGTGGAAGTGTGGACTAGCCCAATATCCCACCTCCTGGCAACAGCCAAGATAGCAAGGGAGTCCTAGAAACCCCACACCCAGGTTGCTGCTGACAGTCCCTCTCCTGCAGAGACTTGCAAGGCTTCCAGCTCTCCTGTGGTTTATGCTCTTTTACCACTACTGTTCGTATCCCAGGCAGAATACCCAACTGATTTATAAGGGGCCAAAAAATAACAGTGTATGTGTGCTTGGCTTTTTGAGCTAAAATTGGATTTACTTGCAAATAGGCTTCTTGACTGCAGTAGGTTTTAAGGGTGATTACATTTGCTGCAAGAGATGGTGGTGCTTTACCCTTTGGAATCCTAATGCTAGCATAAACAGATGACTGTATTCTCTGACCTGTTGTGATGGCAATTGAAACAGAAACCCTAGATTAGTAAAGCAGATGAAAGCCCAGAAGGTGCCAATGACCAGGATCCAGAGTTCCCCAACATACACATCCCGGCAGGCTGTTTGGACAGGCAGGCAGGGCCACCCAAATGAGGGGAGAGGGGTCTGGTGCTCAGCTCCTGCTTGCAGGCTTCCCACAGGCATCTGGTTAGCCCCTGTGAAGACAGGATGCTGGACTAGAGGGGCCATGGGCCTGATCCAGCAGGCTCTTGTGATGTTCTTACAAGCAGTGAGGTGGAAGGGAGGGTGGTGGGGTGCAAGCACCAGATTGAGGAGGTCAGTGCTGACCTCACTGCCCCCTCACACTTTCTGCTGCTGGCAAGCAGGTAGGTACCTCCAACCCACTCAATGCCTGCTGCCACATGGTGCCAGGTGCCCCTCTGTGGGGAGGGAGTTCCACAGCTTAGAGGCTGC